TGTTAAAATGTCTTTCTAGTCTAACCAAGCAAACAGAATTTGCCGTGACAACACTCATTGCACATGACTACACAAGTTATCATAACATTACTGGGACGACTGTATGAAAGACAAAGTGTACGAAGTTTGTACTGATGTATTTTTGAATAAAGATGCATTTTGAATAAGAAATGAAAATGCAAACCATACCAATCATGCCAAAATACAATTATTTAATAGATACCTGTGGTGAATGGGATTGTTTCAGGAGCAATCAGGACCCTAAAGTCAACAATGAAATTCTCATCACCGAATTCATTTATGAATTACTATTATTAGCCGCAGTAATCTTGTGCTCACGGGGATCCACTAATGCTACCTTCTGTCTCTGAGAAGCACATTGGCGAATGTGTCAGAGCTCTCTTCGTGAATGTTATGAGTTATAGATTAGACTGGGGAGTTACAGAGCAATCATTACCTCAGTCTATTGGCGAGTTATTGAACTGAATGTAAATACGACCTCATGTTGTGGAGAAATTCCTTCTACGGAAGTAGCTTTTCTCCCCCTGGCCTGTTGTTTTGATACCGAAAACAGAGTGATCACAACCGCGGGTTCTCTCAGTTGTAACTTTTAAAAAGATTATATTTCAAAGCTGGAAATGATCTTAGATAAAAGGACTAAAACCAACTGGGAATTTAAATCAGCTCTTAGTAGGCACGTCAGTAACAGCAATAGTGATGAAGGATGAAAGTCACGCAAAGGCCCTCAATCACAAATCATTACTGACAATTGCAAACGGAAGACTCAAGTGCACGACTCGGGTCACAGATGGGTTTTGCTCCTTAGACGACAGGTTCTGTACACGAAATGTGTAGAAGGCAAAGGTTAAAAAAGACAGACACACATCCAAAAACGTGACAGGGGTAGTAGACTTCATTCAAGACAACTTGACTGGAGAAAAAAAGGTGCTTGCGCGCTTGTACAAGACGAGCTGGCAAGAAACAACACAGAGCACGCTGCTGAGTTCACAGGGGGGGGGTCAACGAGAGACAGGCGGACGCAATCGGGAAGGGCAGCTGCAATCAGCACATTGAGACACTTGCAACAAGAGACAGACATGGTGGTTATCAAAGTAAAACAAGAAACAGTGGAAACTGAGGTAAGTAATAAAATGCACTTCGTTGCCTTAATGAGTCTTGACAATTACAGGATTTTTTCAACTGAAGCGATTTGTATCGTTGTTTTACTGCCCATTTTTGGGGCAAAAATGCTCTAATTAGCAAGCAAGCTCTCGAGGAAATGTGGTTTTTACTTTTAATGCCAGAGGGGCAACCTTGGCTGATGCCAATGAGGTCCGTGGGAGCACAGATTACTCACTATTACGTCACTTTTACAAACAACTGAAGAGGAATCTGCAGCACAGAAATCAGAGAGGACCCTGCAGGGAAAATCTGTTACACGGTTCAGTCAAACCTCCGTTATCCAAAATCCATGGGCCGCCCGTTCATTCATTCATTCACTGCTGAGTCTCTCTGGTAGTAAAGATGTTTTTTTAATCTGTATTACTGTGTTTCATAATGTGGTGGCACTGGTTGCCTGTGCTGCTCTAAAGCTGCAATCATTCAAGCAGTTGCAGAAGAGCACACAACATCGAGCCTGAGGGACGTCTGTCAGAAGGAGGAAAAAAACTCAATAAGAGCAATATTTTAGTGTTTGCGCTTCTGCTGTCATATATGTGGTGGGTTGCAATCAAAACATTCATGAGTTTGGATATTAAATGTGTTGTTTCAGAAGTTTAAAACGAAATCTGCCAATGGAATACAAATTACATTGTATGGTACCTCCTCATTATTTAAAAGAATGACAACGACAATGGAAAAAATCAGGACAGGACGTCTACGTAATTCACATCATTGTTTTATTATATTGTTTTTGCTCCAGTTTTGTCAGGTCAGCTTGTCTTTCAGTCACAAGGGGAGCTGTCAAATCGCAAGACCGTCTTTGAAGGGATAGTTTGAGTTATGAGAGTGTGTATTAGTGTGTCAGGTTTATTTTGAATGGCTTTTTACCTCTAAAGTTGGTCCTACATGGACACCTGTACACTGCCTGTATCATGGGGACCATGATGTTTTATTACTAAGGAAACAACAATATGACTAGGTGCACTACTTATAAATCGTATATATTTAATTGTGGTTGGCTTTTGGTTGATTTCCCCAGTGTGGGAAGCAGAGCAGCTGAAGAATCGGGGGAAATAAATCAGAGAAACAATGGAACATCTCAAAAGAAAGAACTATATTACTGTTACATCATGCAGTGTGCATGAACAGCAGTGTTATTTCCAAGATCTCTCCATGTACGTTCTATATCTGTGGCCACAAGATATAAAACTAGTATTTAAGGTCCTAAATGTAGCTGACATTTTGTCAAAGGAAAGCGAAAATGAAACTATAAAGGTCAAGCTGTTAACTGCTTTTACGCTGCAAATGATTTTCTGATGTTAAGCAAACGAAAGCTGCTCTGGGATCACTTAACATGGAGGAGAAATGAACTTGTAAAATGTATTATATCACACTATATGTTTGGAACCACCGATTTGCTCCTGGTGACTGTAATGTCGTACAATATCGCTGAAAGCTTTCTCGTGTAATGGGAAGCGATATTTATCTGTGGAAAGAACCGGGATCATTACAGGGACACAAATCACAGCTGTGTTAAAGACACTGACCAGACAGGACCACACGGTGAGTCCTTTGGTTGACTGATTGAGGTGTCTACCTTTGCTTTAACAAAGGCAGAGACCTTTATCATGATTACGTGTGCATCCACGTTTCAACTGGGTAATGGATTGAAAAGTGAGGAACTAAAAATTCTTTGTTCTTTGACAAAGACAAAAAAAGCACCACGGCCATTTTCTTTCCCTCTAAGTGTCGACTGGGACACGTAACAAAAGCATTGGCATTTTACAAGTGACATGTTACACGGAAGGTGGGGGGACTTTTCTCCTAAACTGTGCAATTAGATTCATCCCACTTTCATGATTATTTTCAACTTGCTTTCAACTGGCTTTAATTCATATTAGACTACACATGACGCTACCAGTTATTGATGAAGAAAGAAAGAAAACACAAATAAAGAAATGATTTTATGAATGGAGAATGAGTCTTTTCTCTCTAGTGGGCTTTTTTGAAACCTCTCTGGCTCCATCGTCCTTGAAGAAATAGCTTCCAGTCGTTGGTAGCTCGTACACAGTGGGGAGTACTTAATGAAATGCTCATGGGAAGGAGCTATGAGCATTTATAGAACATTAGCAGAATTAATTTTCTGATAGCTATTTCTCAAAATTACTTTGCTTCAAGGAAATATTCCGTCTGTTTGCTAAACAGCCTCTGAAGAGGAAAACGCTGGGCTCGCTCTGTCCAAAGGTAACATTCTGTCACTTATTACTTTCTGGTTTGTTTTGCCCAAACAAGAAAAAGCCCTGCAGTGTTGTCGACACATCGAGGTTGCGAGGCGATTTTAGTTGTTTTTTTTCCTGGCTACATAATCATGCAGTAGAAATTCTCAGCCTCTGTTTTTACCGTTTGCTTTGTGACTCGGCAGATTCAAAGATGACATCATCTCTGCAGGGGCAACTGTTTCCTCTCGTTTCAGTCTTTGTGCTATGCAAGAAGACAGTTAATAGAACTTTTAAGTACTGTCCTCATAAATGGAAATCGGGCAACGCGACAAAAATAATAATGTATTCGGGAGTATATTTACTTTTCTTGTGCCTACTTTTGATCCAATTGCACAACCTTTGTCAATGATGAGCAGAATTTCTCACACGTGTTATCTGAGAAAAGAAGTAAAAGATAAATCAAAATGTCATGCCTGCCAGTGAGAAGGGAGCACTTAACCCTCACAATGAGTGTTCGCAGGAAGCAGACACTGTTTTTCTGAAGGATTCCAGACAACATTTTACCGATTCTGTTTTCCGGCCTTCCTCATCCAGTTGAAGTCCATCATAGTTTAACTATACAATTAACATCGTTTGTCAGATTTTTCCACTGGAGTGTGGTTCTTTTTGTTATACTATATCAATCGTGTTCTAACAAATATCCTTAATAATGATCTGAAAGCGGCAGATTACATTTCTCTAATCAGCATTCTCCTCTCAGCTACACAAAAACATTTCAAAAACCGGCAAATTGCTTTTCATTAGTCACTATATGACGAATCAAATACTAATTACAATATCTGCCAACATTAGAATAACAAATCATTTGTTCTGTTCACATTACTTTTTTTCGTATACCCTCACACATTTTCCCATTGGCCCTCGGGAGAAATTCATCATGTACGCAAGCGCTGGGAACTAAATAAATGGATATAAATTCTGTGGGCAGCAAACAGCTCGGCCCGCCTGCGGCCACAGAGGGCCCGAGCCATGTTTGGAAAACAAATTGTGGGAGATCATAAATCCTTATCGGAAAAACCTTTGACCAGTGAAACTTTACTCCACAGGAAATGTCTTCACTTCAAAACGGGTCTGAGAGGACAACTGACAGCCGTGTGGGAAGGACTTTGGTGAGCAATAGATGATGTTTTTTCTCACACAGGAAGTAAAAAACAAAACCTTTGTGATAGCTCTTACATACTTGCACCCGCACTGAACATGTGTCCCTTGATGCAGGTTTTTCATTTTATTTTTGGTTTCACTAGAGTGGAATTTCTTTTTTTCCTTTCTTTCTCCATTTCCTAACATGTTTAGGACAAAATGAAGAGTATAACCAGGCAGATTTCTACGAGGGTCCCCCGGGTTCGAGGTGGGTAACCCAGGTTCAATCAATACTGTTGCAGATACCAGAAGAAGATAGAAAAGAGCCAGAAAACCAGTTTGATGGGAGATATGTCAGCTTCCATCGCACGCATCAGCAAATCCAATGAGTTGTATAACGTCGAGAGCACAAAGCATGGATTTAGAGAAGGATCTTCTCTCTCTGTGGGATGGAGCAGTCATCGATATTCTCGTCACACATCAATTGTCAAGTGAATCTTTTAATTATACAGTCATTATCACATAGAATGGTTAGTCCCCATTTTGTTACGTCTTTACACAAAAAATTCATAATCGTAATGATAGGAATAATCATTACAAAATTCTTTATGAAAATCAACATCATTGCTTCTGACACGTCAACACCCTCGTCGGACCTGACAGATTTTTCGTTTTTCACAGCTTGGAAAACATCCGTCCTGAGATTCGAATTGAATAAAGTTTAGGTTTGTTTAGCCTCTACCACATTGAACCAAAATGCAAGTTTATCATTTTTTATAGCTCATCATTTAATGAGAAGAGCATCTTGTAGTAAGGAGATCTGTTTCATGCAAAATATCTCTATGATTGCTCCCCCACTTCGCGTCGCGTCCAGTCGTTGCATTCATAGGCCAAAAGCAGCATAATTTAACTGAACAAACGGTATATTGTGAGATAAAGGTGCAACACTGTAACTCTTCCAACCAGAAGTCAGTAAACCAAGAAAGTATCAGACCATCGCTATAACACACCCACACAGAGACACTTGAAGACACACAAATACATCATAAATGCTTTACGAGCTACATAATAAAAAGAAAAAACTATGTAGTAAAACGTGGCTTTGTATGGTCGTAAGTTATATGGCAATATAGTTTAAGAAAGAATAAGTTTGGTCTCTCTAGAAGGCTCACTTCATCTTTATCGGAGGTCCAGACGGTACGTCAGATCGCACACAGCTGACCTGGCCACTGTTTATGCGTCAGTCAAGCTGATAATCATCTCCAAATATACCTCCGTTGCTGTCTTCTTCTTTTGCACATAATCATATTGTGCTATGCCCCCAAGCAGTTCCTTCAGCGCTGCAGAATCTATCATCTCGCATTAGAGATAAAAGCACTTAATCTTTGGAAAAGACCATTTACCTCTGCTTCACTTTAAGTCTCGTAAGGTGGAGTTGGCTGCTCAGACCTCACATTCGATGGATCCTGATATTGTGCACGTGCACGGCCTCGACTCATTCACCAAAGGGTCCATTGTCTCTGAGTTGGAATGGTAGCTCAGGTAGTATTCTTGCAGCTGAGAGTTAAGATCCTGCTCCTGCCTACTGTTTTTTTTCCTGCGCTTATGGTTGACTGAGTGCTGCTGCAGCTGCCTCATGGTGTTGGGGTAGCGCCTCCACGACACATAAATAACAAGCAGGATCAATGCCACTGACAGGAACAGGGCTACGCTGCCTGCAACGATTTTATGGAAAGCCATATGTTCAAAGTGTAGCTGTGGGATAAGCGGGGTAGGGGGTCCAGGGGAGATGGCCGTTAATGTGGAGCTCACGTTTGTGGACTCTGTCGCCTTTCCGTGTTTCTCACCAGGACGGCCGGGCAAAGGGGTCAACCTCTGAAAAGGTGACTCGGTGCCTAGATCGGTTGTGAGGTCATTGTAAAACGTGATATTCTCCATTTGGGTGGAAGTAAGAGCGACGAGAGATGTGGTTGAGAAAATATTGGATACGTCCACACACGTCAGCTGATTCTTCACCACCTCCACCACTCTTTCACCCTGCACAGACTTGGGGCTGCTGCATATCATGCTGATGTCCTTAGAGTCTCTGATGTTTTGGAGCCATCCCATCAGGGGACAAATGCTTGGGCTGCAGTCCCAGGAGTTGCCGGCCAGGCTGATGGTGGTCAGTGAGGCCCACGCCGCCACGGCTTTCACAGGAACGCTGCTGAGCTTGTTCGATTCAAGGTTGAGCGTTTGTAGGTTTGGCATACACTGGAAAACTGTCGGGTCCAACATTTGGATTTCATTCCCTGACAGGTCCAATTTCTGTAGTTTGTGCCAGGTCCAAGGCACGCCTTGACTCATGGATCGTATGCGGTTCCATTGCAAATAAAGAGTCTGCAGGTTGGTAAGGCGTGGAAAAATGAAGAAATTAATCCGGGAAAATTGATTGTGCTCTAAATGAAGCTCTTTCAACTTGAAGAGCCCTAAGAACGTTGTGCGTGTGAGGCTCCGCAGCCGATTGTAACCCAGGTCAAGAAATTCCAGGCTGCGGCATTCGAGGAAAGTACGAATGATGATCTGATTCAGCCCATTCGATCGGAGGTGGAGATTTTGCAGCTTGCGCAGACCATAAAAATGCCCCGGCTGCAGAGACCGCAGCTGATTATAGGACAAGTCCAGATTTCGCAGGTTCGGTATTGCGCTGAATGTGTTGTTGTGCAGATAAGTTATCTTGTTGGAGCTGAGAATAAGTTCTTTGAGCCTGCGCACACCGTGGAAGGCTAATGCATTGATGTCTGTGATGGAGTTGTGGTCCAAATAAAGCCAAATAAGCTGATTGAGGTGAGCGAACTGGTACGGCAATAGCACCAGCAGGCTGTTATAGCGCAGAGACAGACCCTGGCACCCCGTGGTGATGTTTTCCGGAATGCCTTGGAAGATGCCCGACTCACAGTAAACAATCTTGCCTTCGCAGCGACAACTCGCGGGGCACATCCTCTCCCCCTTGCTGAGCAGCAGCAAAACAGCTGCCTGCAGAAGAAGACATGATAACCTCCAGTCCAACATCACAGAACCTGTTGGGGGCAGAGTGGGGCACATGCAATCAAAGGGATTTATTCGTTTTTTCTAAAACGTGCTTGTTCAGAGACGTTCAAATAAGAAAATGTGAGAAATAGATTCTTCAAACAGGAGGTGGCGAGGAGCCGCTCGAGGTCTGAGACACCGGAGCGAGCTGCCTCATGCAGAATTAAACAGCCTGACGTTTGCTACTTTTAAGGTGAGAATGTGTGGAACTATTGAGACGCAGACAGAGAAGTGGAGTTAAAAAGGTTATTTGAATTGATGCTTGAATAAAAATGTGGAATAGTGGACCTTGCTCTCTAGATTTAGAATATACGGTTCCTGAACTGTTAAAAGCTGTTGTCTAGTCTAGGAGCCTCAAGGGAGAGAAACTATGTCAGTTAATTGTTAAGAACATAATGACTTACCCATAGTTACTGAAGGAAGGAGTAATCCTCTGAAATAATGAGCACATTCAACTGCTCTCAGATGGAACTATCGCAGTTCACGCAGCATCAGAGTCGATCCTCGTAGCGTGCATCACTTAAGTCTTCAATTACAGGGGCAAACCAAATAAACGCAGCGGTGCAGGCCGCCCCGTATCAGGGCTCCAAGCGGGGTGGCAGGATGCCCTCTCGCTTGGGTCGTAGTTGGAGTCCCTGCTATAGTTCAGCCTGCTGTGTGCGCAATAACCCATTTGAGCGCTCGAGCCTCCACTCTGTGCAGCCTCTTTCTCTCTCTCTCTCTCTCTCTCTCTCTCTCTCTCCCTCCCCCCATGTCTCAGATCTCCCTCTGTCTGTCTCCCCTCTGGAAGGTGTAGGCGTCTTTAAGCGCACACGTTTGTTTGATACATTTATAGGCTGCCCACCATGATTTAATCCATGCAGTTATGGGTTTTCTTTCATGAATGTTTCGTGTCACGTAGGCATGTTATATCTCAATGTAGGTGAGGTTTTATACGTGATCTGACCATCTGATTTGGGGATGTTTCTGCTGTAGCCCTTAGATTTTATATTTTATTGTTTTTGCAAATTCCAATTCACTTGCTTATAATCCGACATGTGCTGAAATAATCATATCGCACCATGATGAGGACAACAATTCCTTGATAAAAACAAGGAAGTTGGATGATACAGAATCACCATTCATTGCTATTGATCCATCAGGCAGTCCATCAAGTTGTGTAACCCTGTTTTTTAAGCAATCAGCTGCTTTTTCACATCACATTAAAGGAAACAGCGTGTGATGTTGACACGCATGATCCATCCATCACACATTGGACAGCAGTCGGAGGGAATGTAGATAAACAGATAACACCTCTCAGTGTCTAGAGATGCTGCTAAAGACGTGGCAACAGTGGGTTTTTCATGCATTCACAGAGTGGGAAGTCAACCGGCAGCAGATGAAAGAGGAAAACATGTTAGGAGGAGACCGGGAAACCTGTATTTCTGTGGTATTTTCACACAAACTTGTTCACACTTTTCAAGCAGCTTTGCACGGACACACATTGGACAGAGCAGTGTGGACAACATGATTCTTTCTGCCCGGCCTTTGAGCGCTTGAGTCGTAATGTGTGGCAACAGCAGCCCCTTGTGCATGCAACAAGAAACGCTTCAAGACCTAAATAAATTAGCCAGTGAATTCACGTCAGTGCCTGGCGTGGTCATTTTCCTGGTCAAACATGATTGTCTCTGTAGCCTGTAGATTGTGTTTAAAAGAAAAGTATTAATGAAATCTGCTCCGTGAACGCCACAGTAGGGGTGAAACCACGATGCTTGGAAATGTAGCTATTCCGTTAAGATAATACCTCCCAGCATCGTATAGCAGCACATTTTTCAAATTCATTTCAAACCAAATTGTTTCTTCAAAGGTTGCGCCGGCTCACACGGCATCCAAGAAATATGCCCCTGAAGTGTGGGAATACTTGCCGCTCTTTGACTGACAGTGCGCAGGTGTTGCTGCTTATAAATAACTTCTCAGTGAGTATCTGCTTTACTGACGCGAAATGCAACTTAAAATGAATATGAATTCCTGCGCGCCAGCCAGCCATCATCCTGAGATAAGTGACATTTTCTATTCATTGCCATCACAGAAAACATGAATAAAACACACAAAAAACACTTTTATATGTTAAGCTGTTCCAAACCCATTGGGATATTCCAAAGTGTGAGTCCTAAATGATGTCAACGTAAACATCTATCGTAAGAGCAAAGTAGAATTTTGAATGCATGTGTAAATGATTTACTTATTATTTACTGTATTCACTTATATCAATATAACGCACAGACACATAGATACACAATTATTTGCCCTCTCAGTCACCCTTTACCAACCTTTTACTCTTCTCACTGAGACGTGTCCTCCAACAATGATTAGAGAGACCAAATGGTTGGAGGCCATTTCCTCCATCTGCAGCTCATCACCCGTGTTTATAACATTATGTTTGACAGACCTCTCCTCAAAGCTGATCTCTCAATGACAGGCAACGAGCCTTTATCTTGAGCTGGGTAGATCGCTTTACAGTTATCTTAAAATGCCTTTCGAGCAGCTCATCTCAGTATATCAGTGCAACATGTGAACTGGATGATAAATCGGTCGTTCCATGACTTTTGTCGTGTACGTTGAAAGCCACGAGTCCCGAGCAGGACACAAGAGATAGAGGCTCTTTTTGCATGTTTTGTGGACTCTGCTTATTATGATGATGATTCTTTCTGGTATTACACAACTTTTTGAATGTTTTCTTTTCAATATGTATGTTTTATTTTACAGTAAGACAAGGTGCACCGAATAGAATTGGGTTCTAAAGAACCTGTTGTGAAACTGATACGTGTTTGGAGGGTTTTCAGAGCGCTCACAAGTGCTTTATAACATTTTTATTCGCACACCAGGAAGCGGAAAAAACCCCAATGTGAGTTGCTCTGTTTTGCCCCACTGGCTCATGACCGCCGCTCTGCGCTGTTTATACAGCGTTGTCATGGAAGCACTAAGCCAACCCTGCGGTCAATCCACAGGTTCGACCTGTCAGCCCTGGCTGTCGTTGTTTGCGCTTTTCTCTTTGTTGCTCTCACCCCTTAATAACCCTATACTAATATTAATACTTTTATAGATGTACAAGATCTAGCTGTCATATTTTCACATGACCAAACACGCTCATGCCAGATCCCAATGCTACGTTAAAACAGAGGAGTAACAAGATGTATAAAATAAAAAATGGTATGCCACAAACATTAATTAATCACATCATTGAAAAAAATTACAATCACAAGGTAGCCAACGTAATATATAATCAGTAGTGGGAGCAGATCCTCAAATACAATCAGTGGAGAGGCTTTATAAATAGCTCAGCGATGAAACTTAATGCAAATATGTGTCACTATTAGTGCGTGTACATTTGGTTTAACAGTAAACACATACCCTGCAGTGCCTGAACACACACTTAAGGACTCAGCGAGTGTGTGTTTTGGCTGCAGGCTCCTCTCCACAGGCCTTCGTGTGATTGACAGGACACAGGATTGATTGCTTTTTTGTTTTTTTCCCCTAATGGAGAAGAACGATTATTGGCACAAAAATACCAAACAGATTTTTGTTTTAAAAAATCCCAACCCTCTAAATGCCCACTGGTCTTGTGTGTGGTGTTTGCACAATGCATTATGTATAAGGACATAATGCAAACTAAAATAAAAATAGCATCAAAAGACGAACTTCTACATTTGTAATGCAGTAAAGGACAATATTGCAGGGTTCTATTAAGTGGTTGTTTCATGCAATATTTAAAGTCAGAAGCCCATTATCGACATCTCTATAATGTATCATCGGCGGATCGTCACAGGTGTCCTTGCAGAAGTGTTTTCTTGCCTGCATGTGGGCGATATTTAAAAAGGTAGACTCAAAAAACAAGTTTTACCTGGTTAAATAAAGGTTAAATTAAATAAATAAAAAATAAAAAAAGTTTGCTAAATGTTGCACAACCAAAGATTATATAGAATGTTTTAATGGAGTTTTCAATTAGGGTTTTACTATGTGAATTGATCTAAAGATGTGAGATACATACATGAAGGAAAAACTGTTCTTTGAAATAAATCAGAATATGAATCCAGGATAGATGGAAAACTTTACAGTCCCAATCATCAGAAAACTCCAAGAATCCCCTCAGAGCTCAGAGAATCATGCAGCACAGGCACAACTTTTGAGAGTTTTACTCCAGTAAGAACAATCAGCATAGTAGGATTAGCTGAGAATACATTTAAAGGAAACCCTTCATATATAATCACAGAAATGTATCCAACTATACAAAAATTGTCATAGTATTATGATATATGCACTATTTTGTCAGTGTTTACGTGAATTCTAGAAGCAGCAGGGGATAAAGTTCCAGATATTTGGGGATGAGCCCTCTTCTCAGAAACATTTAACAGCTGTGTACTTTGCCAGGGTGAATAACACATTTAGGAGTGAATAAGAGCAGCTTCCACACTGTTTTAAGTCCCTCTACGATCTATACATTTTATTATTTATACATTTCAACACCGTGTTTCAGCAGGATTCATTATGCTGCAAAAAACAGGTCCACCCCTTGCTCTATTATTTAGGGCTCAGTCAGTAACAGACAATCATTAAAGTTTCATGGGAAGCAATTTGGTTGCGGAGTTATTTGCAAAGTGAGGTGAGTGCATTTGGTGCCAATATGACTTTGTTGTGTACAGCTTGGGTTTCCATGCTTTTCATGTCGAGCGTTTACCACCCTGTTATTTCAAGAAGCTGTAGTCACAACATTCTGCAACATTATTTGGAGAATGTTTTGCCAAACAATCAAATTCCTACGAATAAAGTTTTGGTTCTTTGTCCGTAGGAATAAGGGTGTGCAGGTTTAATAGATGCAGGAGCGCAATCAAGGGCCCACACCTAGAGAGGACAAACGGGAGCAGCCGGAAACAACGTGACGTGGGGATCTAATGGTTGACAGGGGAAGTATATGGAAATATTCCCACAACTGTACCTCCGGAAGGGAATAAAAATACATTATTTGGGTGTTTTTTTAATGTTTTGGTGACTGTAAGTTATCTATTGTGACATGTCACTGCTGAAACAATCTCTTCAGGGCTCATTTCTTGGGCCATAGTCAACACTCTAATGGAAGCATCATCAGACTACATTCACGGAAGGGCACGAAGGAGCCGTTCCCACCTGTGCAGTGTTCAGGGTAATGGATGGGCCTTTCTTCACCTTGGTCTGTGTGTGAGAGAGATAGAAAGATAGAGAGAGATCCAGAGATAAAGAGGGAGAGAACCCTTAGTTCAAAAATTGATCAAACAATAGAAATTAAATCAATGACACTGCAGTGCTAGATGCATCGATTTTATTTTGTTTCAACCGATTTCTCTGTGACAAACTATCTGCGATTTGAGTTCATTAATGTCCATCTCAGGTAATTAAGCATCCCATTAAGTACAAGGGCAGAGGGACCCGTTAGAAATAATGACTTTGACCCGCACTCAAAGTCTGATTATAAGGCCTCGAGAGAACCTTTTGTTTACACATCACACATTTCAGTGTCAATACACCATGAACTCTGGAAAAAGACCATAATTAATCACCTCACGCCTGCCAATTTGATTAGTATACACTATATATAGGTATTGTGCATATAGTGTATAATTATATATATATAGTGTAGCTTTCTACTATTTCATGAGAGCACACACTTTAGACCACCTAAAATAAAGATACAACGTATAACCATGAATTAACGCTATATAATCTTGCCAACAACCGGCAGCAGCATCCAAATGCTAGTTGACTATTAATGTATCAGTTATAATAATCCATAATCAAATATTACGGCATGACAGCTCCAAACACCGCCGTGCAGCCTAAATCTTTAGTTTTTTTTTTTTTGTATTCAAGCCTTCAGTCATCACGTTGCATGAGCTTTGTGGAAAGGCTTCAAATAGAAGCTGTTTAGAGGCGCAGAAGCTAAAAGACTCCCCGTTCCCCCGCGGTGGTTCTGGCTGCGGGGAGTCACTCCTGGTGACCAGGAGAGGGCATCTCAAGACCTGAAACCAGCACCGGTGCGCTCGTTGTAGTTCCACACCAACATCGCCCCTGTTGCTATACAACCCATTTATTCCCGATTCCACGGTCAACGGGTCCGATCCGCAGCGGGCTGCGCCTCCTCCCCGCGCGGCCCACCTCTATACATCCAACTTGTCGGGTTTGGACCTCAGTTTTCTCCCGTCGAATGTCTTCAGTTGTTCGGCTTCTGCTTTCTTTCGTTCTTTCTTTCTTTTTTGCCACTCAACCTAGATTTCACAATTGACGACTCGATCATGTATTTTCAAGCATCCCGAAGAACGCGACACGCAACAGTTTCATTCTCGTGAGTGTAAAAGCTTGAGTGGGCACATCGAAGGGGGAGGAGGAGGAGGAGGAGGGGGACGAGGGGGAGGAGGGGGGCTGAAATATGCATTATCCTGCTGATGTTGTACGGTAACGTGGGAAACTGTGAAGAGCGGTTGATGAGCATCTCCTGGAGCCGCTCACGTCTCCGACAGGTGTGCGCGCCGGTGGGCACAGCGGACCGAGCTGTTGCGCGAAGTGCGGCATCCCGGGTGCTCGTCCAACTACTTGGACCAAACGCCGAGCGCTTCTAGCATGTGGACCTGGGACGGATGCAACAGAGAGCCCAAACCATGAGGAGGAGCCGACTCCGCGCAAATATGGGTATGTGTTCTGTTCCACGAGGTACTTAATTACGTTCTGCATTTCTGCGCCGAGTCTACCTTCGTTTTCATGATTACAATTCACTTAACGCAAGTGACGCTGGCGTCTTTGCCCCTTGCGGTTTGTGAGCGATGATAGGCTGGTCGATCCGTTTCCTCTCAGCAACTATTTTGACGGACGACGCTTGATTCATATGCTGCTATCGATCTCCTTTCCAATGTCTCAAGAAAATGACTGTGAGTGTAAGTGTTGTGCATAGCCCTGACATGAACACAGGGATGCAGATGAGGCAGCCTGCAAAATAACTGCTAACAAATGCCTCAGAACGTATGGTTTTTAACCGTTTGGTTACCGGATTCTGCTGATTTGATCATTTCATTAGGCGTTATTATTTGCTGGTCCTGATTTGCGTGTCTCACGCCCTGAAGTCTATCACTTTTCTGCTTGTCCACAGGACTTCTCGTGCTTTTCAGATGGCTCGTTTTCACAGCGGTGGTGCCTGCCTGGCTGCTCGCTGATCCGAGCGGCAGCCGTGAGCGTACCTGCCTCCCGAGCTGTAGATGTGATGGGAAAATAATATACTGTGAATCCAATGCCTTCCGTGACGTGCCAAGCAACGTGTCTGTCGGCACACAGGGTCTCTCCCTGCGTTACAACAGCCTGATGACCCTCAGAGCCCACCAGTTTGCCGGCCTGAGCCAACTGGTTTGGCTATACCTCGACCACAATTACATCGGCGACATGGACGGCCAGGCCTTTCACGGGATACGAAGGCTCAAAGAACTGATTCTCAGCTCGAATAAAATCACAAAAATTAAAAACAACACTTTTCACGACGTTCCGAATTTGCGTAATCTCGACCTGTCCTACAATAAGCTGCAGGTTCTCCAGCCTAATCAGTTTGTGGGTCTACGGAAACTACTCAGTTTACATCTGAGGTCAAACTCGTTAAAAACGGTCCCGATGAAGGTTTTCCTCGATTGTCGCAACCTGGAGTTTCTTGATATTGGCTACAACAGGCTACGGAGCCTCACGCGCAACGCCTTTGCAGGACTTCTCAAACTCACCGAGCTTCATCTGGAGCACAACCAGTTCTCCAAGATAAACTTTGCTCATTTCCCTCGCCTGACCAACCTGCGGGCGCTCTACTTGCAATGGAACCGTGTTAAAACGCTAACCCAGGGCCTTCCTTGGATGTGGACCTCCTTGCAAAAACTGGACCTATCTGGAAATGAGCTCCAAGTGTTGGAACCGAGTACCTTTCAATGCCTCCCGAACCTTCAGACTCTCAACCTGGACTCCAACAAGCTCAGCAACGTGTCTCAGCAGACCGCGGAGGCTTGGATTTCCCTCACCACCATCAGCCTGGCTGCCAATCTGTGGTACTGTAACCCCAACGTGTGTCCACTGGTGGCCTGGCTCAAGGCCTTCAAGGGTAACAAAGAGTCTGCCATGATCTGCGCTGGCCCCAAGGAGGCCCAAGGAGAGAAAGTAACAGACGTGGTGGAGACTTACAACATCTGTGCAGTGACACCGGCCCCCAACCCGTCGACGACAGCGCCCCTCACCTCTTCATTTAACCTCGAGCTGCCCCCCCTCACCACGCAGTCCGTGGTGGACGAGAAGCTCACCTGGAACAGGACAGCGTCCCTTACTCCTTCCTTGGCCTCCCCCACCGTCCCTTTGCCAGACACTGAGTATGTGTCCTTCCATAAGATCATAGCCGGCAGCATGGCCCTGCTCCTATCTGTGGCTGTAATTCTACTGGTGATCTACGTCTCCTGGAAGCGTTATCCCAGCAGCATGAAACAGCTTCAGCAGCGCTCGGCGGTTAAAAAGCGGCAGAAAAACACTCGGGAGACCGAGCGCTCCCTTAATTCACCACTGCAAGAATACTATGTGGACTACAAGCCTTCACACTCAGAGACTATGGATGTGCTGGTTAATGGGACAGGACCTTACACATACACCATCTCAGGCTCCAGGGAATGCGAGGTATGACCGTTGCCCTACAAAAATCCATTTCCACTGCGACGCATGAAAGGTAAATTCTCTAATAATCCGCAGAGAAAACTATTTTTTGCTCCTCTGCTCTTGTCTGTTTTTGGGATGCAAGGGTCAGTGCACGGTGACTTGTTTTACAACACGCGGGGTTTGCACAGTTCCATATGATTACCCAGCTGTTGTTCTGAATCATGCAGTTTTATTGCTGATGTATGATTCCCATTAGCAGAAACTGCAGTAGCAGCTCTTCTCCCAGGAGAACGTACATAAAGTAAGATGCATTATGCACAAAGTGGGTTAATCTGTCATCCATGACATAAAAGAGCCCATTGATGAATCTACGTATTATCAGCCAGCCTATTATTTATTCACAAATGGCTTGTTTTCCGAAATAGAAGGATAAAAATATGATAAGATTGAGTCACTTTGCAGCGGGTCCTTTACTATCCTGTGCATTTGCTATAACGGCTGTAGTGGCAAATACACGAGTCCTGTGAGTCGTGAAATTTGTTTTTTTCTCTATTAAATGTGTTAATATTTACTGTCATACCAGCTGATCATATGTCCCATTTTCATTTTCTGCTGCTAGCAATCACGTACATAAGATTTCAGTGAGGAGTTTAATTTACAAAGTTCCAGCAGTCACAAACACTATAAAGGCCTGCAGCAAAATAAAAGATAAATTATGCATTTGCGTTGGACTTTACTTCTGCAGAAACAAACCTCAATTTGCTGCTTTTGTTTTAACTCGGAAAGATTAAGAAACAAGTGCAACACAAGTGATTTTATTCAATAAGTTTGAATTGAAAGTCTCATCCTGGAGCCCAATTCCTTGACATGGCTGATTTTGAACCAGTGATACGACACTTAAGGGTGGAGCCTTGATGGAAAGACTAATCACATTGCACTTTTAGGCCTTTATTGTACTTGTGTCGTCTTTTTTCCACTAATGCTTTTGATCTGTATTTCTTTGTGCACCATCTTTTTTTAAAGTTATTTGGCCAAATGGTCAAATGTGAATAACAGCATATGTTGTGTTGGGAAAGTTTCATCTCACACTCCTGCAAAGCTCGTTTTCTATATTCCACTTGGACCCTATAAACGATTTCATCGGTCTTAAGTAGGTGGACTCCACTGTAGCACCAAGTACATTCTTGTGTTGTCCTTTGCTGAAGTTCCTGGAAAGGCCAGCTCAAATCTCATTGTGTTCAGTAATGTCATATACGATTAGGTACACAGGTCTAAATCACTTATTTGTCTCAATCTGTGGCACAGCTTTTTCCCCAAACTCACAAGAAGCTTGAGGTGAGGTTGTCGGCTCATCAATCTTACAGCTTTCTTGTGAGAATGTGGCACGGGAGCATTAAATGGCAGACCTAATGGGGCTTTTGCCTGCTAGAATAACTAATAGCCCATCAGAGGTAAGGAGCCGAAACTTTCCTCAGCTTTGTTATTCCATGCTCCCGAAAGCTCAAGGGAGCAGCCTTAGTTGTTAAAAATGTAATGGGATTTTTTTTCCCCCGTATGTGTGTGTGTGTGGGTGTGTTTAAATGATGTGCCACACACTGCAATGTAGTGTAAGAACACATGGCAGAGCAGAGGACCAGCTTTTTATACAAGTTAAAATGGTGAGATTATATTCTATGTTATCAGTATGAATTGCATTGCAAGCCATCTGTGATGTGCAGCGATAGCGTCCGAGTCCATTAGCATGAGAATACAGGCAAAGCAGAAGGAGCTCTCCTGATGTGATAATACGTTTCAGGTTTATTGAATGACAGAGAGGAGAGTGTAGAAAAAGATGGAAGTGAGGTATAAATGATGAAAAGCTGCTCCGGGGTTCAAAACCAACAATCAAAGCAAATGCCCCCACACAGTGAAGTGCCTTCACATTATTTCAGCTGTCCCAGATAGAAAGCACTTAGGCCGTTAGTTGCATTTTCAATTAGGCGAAAGAACTTTGTAATTGAAGCCCCTTATCTTCAGCACATTGCCCGACCAACTTGGAGTAAATTTCTTTCTATAGATTTCCTCCAACACTGCCCAGCAAGTTGGCCTCGACGCTGCAAACTGAACTCGGCGAGAATACATTTCGATGAACACTTTGAACCGTGTGGTTCCACGGTCTTCCTGTGGAACATTATTATTAAAAAAAAAAGCCCTCCCTGCGTTGAATGCCATCCACTTCTGTGCTCACAGAGCAGCTGGAGTGCTAAACGTCCACCCACGGATCCTCTCCTGCTCAGTTCAGCGGATCTTATGGGGAAAAGCCCCGAGATTCTTGTACTCGGGCAGAATTTGCAAGAATGAATAAGTGGAGCAGATCTTGCTCATAGATTATTAAAGTGGGCTGTGAGAGAGCAGATGAAGTGAGGGGAATCAAAGGTGCGCCACTGCCGGTGCATGTAAGTGACTGATAGAAATGCTGTCTGAACTGCTAGAGTAAAAATAACTTTTTTTTTTGTGAAACACTCTGATGAGCAAACTATTTTTCAGTAACAACTGAGTCCAAGATATGCTTCTATCGTGCATTTGTTTTTGTTACTTTCTATGCGTTTGAAATAAGAAACCTGCTCTTGGTTATATTCTAAATGAATGGCTCCAATGGATCTAGTCTGTGTTTGCGTGATACAGATCTGGGTACATTTTATTCAATAAACATTTGTTTAATTTTTAGGCTCTAGAATATGAGCCACGTCTTTGAAATGTCACGAAAAAGAAACATAGATGACGCGCAATCAAAATATTCTGCCCGGACTTGCCAAGATTACAGCTTGTACTTTATCCGTGCGTAAATACACAGAAGGCAGGCTTCCATCATGTGAAGGACGTTTGACAGCTTTCAATATTTGTTGTTTACTTGCCCAGAAAAGGTTACGGCAAAAAAAAGGATGCGTCATTTCTTTGACACGTCCGTTCATAAGCCGTGGAAAGTATTGGTGTGATTTTTCATAAAAAAACATCAAATTATCTTATCTGTTTTTAGTAATCCGATAAAATATCGTTCTTCATTTTTCTTGGTTGTCGTCTTGTTTGGTCAAATCGAGAATTTCTGCAACTGGGTGGCAATGATCCATAGGTCCACGGAAGGAGCCCACTTATCTTTTATCATACCTGATGATTTAGTGAAAAATGGATTTTGGTCAGCTCAACTGAAACCCAACAGCAGTAAAAAGCAGGGAGATACCACCTTTTAAATGAGAGCACTTACGAAATATTTTTTGGTGTTATGTATCTCTTATCGTCAGTAATAATATGACTAAAAAGATACTTAACTCACTAATAGATTTTTGTGCTTGATCTCAGTGGCTGAATGTGCTTTTTCTGACATCGGTGACCAGTCGTGTATATGATTATGGAAAGAATTGATTTTCTTTGAAAAAAAGAAACCACCCAAACTATTAGTGGAGGTAGTTTAGAGGAAGAATCTGTGGACGTAACAGTAGCAAGACTGACACGGATGTTTAGTCATGCCCCTCGGCTTCTGATACAGACGCACAGGAACCTTTAGCACAAGGCTTTAAAGTAACTACAATACAAACCCACTCACACCATTATTAGATGCTTTTAAAACTAATTAGATTAAATGTATTTGTGCGGGATATTCCAGTGATGACGACCCTGAGCTTTTAATTCTTTTAGGATTTGTGTATGTGAGGACACGGGCTTGAGTGGAGTTGCACCTGCCTGTGATCAGGTGGTTATGCAATGACACAGATGGGGACACATTACCGTGTGCACAAAAAATCGGTGCGGTGAGCGGATTCAACCGCAGCCCAAAAACGATTTAGATTTCATTGAACATTGCTTGATGACCTTTCAGACCTATTTTTTTGACAGACAGGTTGGAATGTCTTGATTTAGAACAAGTGATGACATAACCTTGTCTTATACAATGTTATACACAAACTCAGGGGACATTTTTGATGTTTGTGAATGGTTTTGAATACTCATTTTAAGCCTTAAACCTGACCCAACATAGTGTTTTTTTCGCTGCCCAAACCCAAGATGGGGTTTTAGTTTGAATTCATAACTTTAAACAGTTTACTGCGGCAGTCAGAAAGCGATGACAAGGGGTCTGACAACATGTTGTCCATTTTGTTCAAGCCAAGGCTGTGATTTCACGGCGCGTTAAAACGTTGCTTCTGGATTCATTAGCACAAATGCACGTAATCAGACCGCAGACCTATCTTTGTTGTTAAGCACCTCTTAGGTGGTTCTGTGCGTGGGGCGGGATCTCCCCCAAATAAACCCGCTGCTGTGTTAATGATTCTGACTTTGAGATGTGACGAGTGGGTGGAATACATTTGAACAACACAAGGGGCCAAACAAGAACTGTGCCTGTAATCCAACGTGGTTTGTTTGAATGAATATGGAAATTCTATTGCCTCATAAAAAAATAATCGTATCATCTTTTTTTTTCAGCCATTTGATGTTTTCACAACTTTATTATTTTCATTATGATGTGCTAATAGAGCATGCCTCGGCTTGCTAATAGCTTAATCTGGCAAAGGCGGAAAATATGACGTTCTTCCTACACGCTTCTACAGCGTGTTAAGATGCACTTATTAACAGAATATATGATGCTAATTGTGTCCCTAACTAATAATTACGGACAGCCGCAGAGCTAAAGCCAGACGAGTGATAGCCGCTGGGAACTCACGGAAAAAAGGTTTTGCTTCTGCGAAAAAATGAATGAAAGTCAATGCTTTGTTGACCTCTAAACTTGATTGACAACATGATTAACTCTGATATGCACTTGATATGCACAATAATCTGGACCTTCACTTATGACCAAAATCAAATTAACTTGTCCGTGATAAACTAATCAGGTGACATGCACTGTGCTGTACAATATTTTGTTAGAAAGAACTACAAAGGCTTACAAAATAGAATTAGAGGACCAATTTCTGCCCAAACTGATGTGGAGAAAAAATTTAAAAGACCCCTGAGATGAATCAAACTAATTCTCCATTTCCCGTCACACGAGC